AAAAGGTGTGCTTGCTATTTGGAAAATTTTCATCTTGATAAGTAAAAATCGGCCGGTTCTGTGGATTTGCCCATATATTGTAACCAAAATAAAGAGGGTGCAGACAAAATTCGGAGGTAGGATTGTAGCAGAACTAGATACTACATTCAACACTTTCCTCACAGCAAGGTTCGCGAAGCTGTTCGAAGCTCAACCTGCATCATTCACAATGATTGAAAATGCCGTGCAATCTCAAGAATTACAATTAAAATTTATAGGCGGAAAGTTTAATGTAATCGAATTTGAGTATAAGTAATATTAAAAAAAAATTATTAGACTATAGAATAAAAAAAATAATTGTCAATATAAAATTGTAAATATTTAAAATGTGAGAAAAATAAATGTATAAATTTACATAAAAAATTGTTTTTTTTCCTATTTGACCTTCATTATTAGTCTTAATACTAAGGGTGTAGGTTCAAGTAATAAATAGGCGTTTTTTTATTTTTTAAAAACTAATAAATTATTTTATTGAGATAAAGTATTTAAAATTTATTATACATAAGATTCAGAATTTTCATAAACAGATTTTAAAGTAGTATAAGTACAATCCACTTCATCGACGCCATCTGATAAATTTCTCAATTCATTCGATACATTCAGAAACCAATTTCGAAGAATCATAACAATGTTTACAACACAATGGTTAGTTTGTGTAATATGATGCGTACATGTAGTTAACAATGATTCAGTTTTAATATTTTTAATCGCTGGACAGTCTATATCTTCGAAGTTTTGTACATTTAACAAATATTTTTCTAACTACTGCTTTTTTTCAACACCTTTCGTGTAGATAGTTTTGCACCTCGTAATGTTTCTTGTATAATAGTACGCAGTTCATCCTAAGAAACATCTCTAGACATCCAGTGGATTCCATGATAATTGTTTGTTAGCCAGAGATTTTCTCTTTTATAACTTTGAATTCCAAGCACATGGAGGTTCAAAGAGGTAAACTTGAGGTTGAGCATCAGCTTCAAGAGGAAGTATAGCCAACTCTTTGAAAATGAAATCATTGCAGGGTTTCTTGAAGCCTTAAACGTCTACGATGAACTCCATCCTGGGATAGAAATAAATTTCTATCCGAGGAACGTGAGTTATCTACCTCTCAGTTCAACCCCCACTACTTTCATTTTACCCCCTCCATTGCTTTATAGTTTTTTAACTATGCCGCTGATTGGTTTATACTGTACAATGCGATCATATATGATCAGGCAATAAGCACTTGTTTCAACAGGTATATTATTTCTAGCTTCAAATTCCAAACGTACATCAACTGACATTTGTTTGAGGAGTCAATGATTTAAAAGTGTCAAGCTTCAATATGGGTTCAGAATCTCTTCCATAGTAGGAAGATTGAAAATTAGCATACATATCATACAGTATAGAATATTGATTTTGATTAAAATTTCCATAAAGATATGATTGTGAATTTAAAAAGAGTTTTACATTTGTAATGTCGCACAGTGGTACGAATTGCGAATCTAGCTGGACAAAATTCAAAATTTTTGTGTCTTCAAAAAATATACCCTGGCGAATTTGGTAAATCGAGATGTAACCGAATTGGGTTACGATTCGGTTACGTTTCGGTTACTTGTGAAAAATTGTCGTGAATCGACGAAATATGTTGTAAATAACTATTAGGAATGGTAAATAGACATTTAGAGGTCATATTTATGCAATAATAACAATAAATTAAGATATAATTACTCAATAATAAGTGTTTTAAGTGTACAATGCATACAGTTGTTGAGTTACCATATATGTATATTACCATCAGCGGGAGCTGTGATACGCGCTTTAAACAGTAGATGGCGTTGAAAATTACTTTGTGAATGAATTTCTAAAATTAAACTTTTGAGTGTCAAATGTGTAAGTAAATATAAGTTTTAAAAAAATAGATCGATTAATTAAAACACCTTTTTTCATTTCTACAAATATAAAAAAAAATTGTTCTCAATAAAAAAATTTTTTTTCTTAATGACATGAGAAAAATTAATTGTGACACAAAGAAATCTATTTTTCTCTAAAAAAATGTTTTTCTTAATAATAATTTTTTTTCACAGTAAAATGAAAAGAATAATTTTTACACAAACAAATTTTTTTCTTAATAAAAAATTTTATTTTTTCAATGAAATGAGAAAAAGTAATTGTAACACAAAAGAAACTTTTTTCCTCAATAAAATAAGAAATATTAATTTTGAAAAACAAATTTTTTCTGAATAAAAAAATTTCTTTTCTCAATGAAAGGAGAAAGATTAATTTTGACAGAAAAAAAATTTTTTGTTCCTAATAAAATTTTTTTTTATTTGTACAAATGAAAAATGTTGTTTTCATAAATCGATATATTTTTTTAAAACTTATATTCACTTACACATTTGACACTCAAGGGTTTAATTTTAGAAATACATTCACAAAGTAATCTTCAACGCCATCTAGTGTTTAACGCGCGTATCACAGCTGCCGTTGATGGTAAAATACATATATGGAAACTCAACAACTGTATGCACTGTACACTTAAGCCACTTATTATGAAGTAATTATATCTTAATTTATTCTTATTATTGCATAAATAAGCACTCTAAATGTCTATTAACCATTCCTAATAGTTATTTACAATATATTTCGTCGATTAAAGACAATATTTTACAAGGAACCGAAACGTAACCGAATCGTAACCCAATTCTGTTACAACTCGGTTTACCCAATCCGCCAGGGTAAATACTATAGGAATAGTATGTTTAGTTGTTCAACATTAACGTATGAATGTTAGTTTCCGGGAAAGAATTATATTTTTTATTTAAAAGCAATTTAAACATTGCCATTCACGGCATCTTAGTTTTCGTGAAAAATTACAGTTAACAGATATCAAATAAATTATGTAATTATGCAATTCCTTTGATATTAATAAAGTAAAATGCTTTTGCAGAGTAAACTAGATGTATGTAAAAAATATTTTAAACATTTTTACTTAATATTTTCTGTATCTATGATTGTTATATATATAGGACTAAATTATATAATTTAAAATTCATTTTATTCACTTCGAAGGACCAGAACTTTTCGGGCCTGAGCTGGCCCGTTGTAAAACTTTTTTTGACGTATAGAGTACCTATTATTGTGTTAGATTATGCTTTATATGTAACTTCCTTCTACTTCCTTTTTTTAAATTTTCATTTAGAACTTCTGGGTGACAAATATGGCTTAAATATTAAATATCGTTCTAGCATATCTACTGACTAAAATTTTCTGATACTCAGTACTTATGGGTATTTTTAGTCGCTGATTATGAATTTGAAGTCAATTTTTAAAAATTCAAAATGGCGGATCCAAAATGGCGGACAACTTTTTTAAAAAATTCGTTCGTTTTTCATAAAACTCGTTATCTAGGGGTTTTTGGGGTCGCTGATTACGAATCTGATGTCAATTTTTAAAAATAAAAAATGGTGGATCCAATATGGCGGACTTTTTTTAAAAAGTTTAAAATTTAAATAACATTTGTTTGCTAAATTAGATCCGCCATTTAAAATTTTTAAAAACCAACATAAAATTCGTAATCAGCGACCCCACAAAACCTTTAGATAACGAGTTTTATGAAAATCGAACGAATTTTTTAAAAAAAGTCCGCCATATTGGATCTGCCATTTTGTATTTTTAAAAATTGACATCAGATTCGTTATCAGCGATCCCAAAAACCCCTAGATAACGAGTTTTATGAAAATCAAACAAATTTTTTAAAAATAGTCCGCCATATTGGATCCGCCATTTTGAATTTTTAAAAACTCACATCAAATTCGTAATCAGCGACCCAGAAAACCCCTAGATACCAAGTTTCATAAAAATCCATTCAATACATTTTGAGTGATGATTTTTGTCCAGCTAGATTCGCTATTCGTACCACTGTGTGTCGCAGTGATCAAAAAAACTGGCAGACTTTTTACGTTTATCTTTTCTTCCTGTTTGGAATCCAACAATTACATATCGAGGCTTCTCAAATTGTGTTGGCGATTTTATTTGACACATAACTCTTGTACTTGACGGAATTAAAGGATATTCAAACATTTCCCACGATCGAAAACCCAAACAGCACAATGTCTTACAGTAGTGCTACTGTGAGCGACATCTGTAGGATTCGTAAGCTTACCTCGTAAGGCTGTAGTGGATACAAGGTGTTCTAAAAAGTTTCGCTCTACAGTAAGCTTACACCTAAAGCCCGTGGTAAGATTACATCCAGAACTCATGGTAAGCTTACACTTATAACCCGTGGTAAGCTTACACCCATAACTCACGGTAAGCTTACACCTATAACTCACGGTAAGCTTACACCTAAAACTTACGGTAAGCTTACATCTAAAGCTGACGGTAAGCTTACAGCTTAATTTTATTGTAAGCTAACAGGTAAATTTCGCAGTAAATCATGCCACATTAAAATAAAGCAAATTTTGTTAAATATAATAAACAAGGAAAACAGTTTTATATGTTTTTTTATTTTAGAATCTTACACAATCTTTTTAAAAAACATTATGAAATATTAAAGTATTATAAATATTAAATATTGTATTGGGTCAGAATTTGATGAATGGTTCATCTAAAATATTTGAATATTAATTAATTCTCAAGATAAGATTAATTTCTTACTCTTAATGTGTTTAAAGCTATTGTTCGAAATTTATTAGAAAGAAAATAAAAATTAGTCATTGCAAATTTTTTTAAAATAAAAACTTTGAGTGGTCCTAAATTAAAAAATTTAAATACTAAAAAAGAAAAAAAATTTTAACATAAATGAATGAAAATTTCATTGCAATTTTATGAAATAAAAATTACTTTATATTGATCAAACGTCTTCAGTTATAAATCCAAAGTATTAAACAACCATTTCAAAACAAAAAAAAGTATTTTTTTCTGCAAAAGAATTTTTACTTAAAACTACTTAAAAATTCAAATTTTTGATAACTGGACAAAAACGATTTTCTGGGTTCTACATTTCACAAACTTATTTCTTCGATCACATTAGAAGTAGAGAAGCGATATTGCAAATTAAATTTTCTTATTTTAGTTGAGCTGATTTAGAAATCCTGCCCAATTATAAAAAACGGTAGATTATTTATATGTAACATGATGATGTTAATAGAAATTTTTTAACCATGTCCACTTGATAGAAAAGACCTGTAACAAAAAATTATAAATTTAATGTAATATTGATGTTAATTGAATTAAAAAAATTGTTTTAGAATATTAGTAGCATAGTAGATAAAAGATTTTTTTACCTCCTTCAGCTGGTTTTCATCTACTTTTCAATTTGTATTTCCTGAGCATAAATGAATCGGCAGTCGTGTCCACTTAATAGAAAGGACCTGTACCAAAAACGTTATAAATTTAATGCAATAATGGTGATGATATATTAGTATTCATTATTTAAAGCTCATAAGTGTTAGAAAAGTTCAAAAAATGCTTTTTAAGAATTTATATGTTTAATACTGTAAGTATTTTTTAAAATTTTTTTAAAAATTGTCATTATGTTTGTAAACAATATATGTGTGATTTTCCACCTAGTGCAAAATTTTATTTTCTTTGCATTTTTTTAAGAAATCTAGTGCACATATTGTAATAAATCCAAAGGGAAAAACGAATTTATATTTTCATAAACAATAGCTACTATTGTCGTTTTTACTTAAAAATTCTTATTTTATCTTTAGAAGCTATTTTACATTCTCATCATCATAAGAAAGTATTATTAGTTGCCAAAAAGTCTTAGTAAAGCTTCACCAAAGTTCTATTTACATAAGAAAATAGTAATTGTATTGTAAAATATAATAATAAATATAAAAATGATTGACAGTTTGATTATTAGTCTATATTAATAAAATTGGAAAAGATGAAACACTTTATAACAAAATTGAGGAACAATTTTTTGTGTCGTTATTGAGTTAGCCATATTTATAAAATTTATTATTTATAAATTGTTCGTTATTGTTTATTATTTATCCTTATTTAAATAAAAATGGAAATTAAATTGATTTTTATCAAATTCGAAAATATTGTTTAATAATAGCACTAAATTGTAATTTAGTTTAATATTAAAATGAATAAAATTTTAAGAATAACTAAATTGTACGCTAAGTGGAAAATCATCCATAAGCTTTAAATCGAATTTAAAAATTTGTAAAGAAAATTATTCATTTGTAGAAAAAATGTAACTTACATTGTTAATAAAAATGTTTCGCAACTCCTTCAGATACGAAAACGAAACATATTACTTTCCTTATAGTTATATGGGATTTGGTAATGGCTTGCTAAAAAAGCAAAGAATAAAATTTAGAGAAGGTATTGAAACAGAAAAGAATAATAACAAATAACAAATAATAAATAAATTTAAAAAAAAGTTTAATATTATTGATACTTACGTTTTTCTGTTGTCTCGAATTTTACAATTCGACAGTAATGAGCTAATATATTTGTCAATTTCTGTACTTGTTATATTATTTGATTGCAGTAACCACAAGGTTACTGCACTAATTTTACTAATTACTAATTTTTTTAAATTGAGATATCTCTGGTTCTTTTTAATATTTTTCAAAGTTTTTTTTTAAATTTCTCAGTAAAATACGTACTTTTTAAATAAATTTTTTCGAAAAAAAAATTTTCATTAATTATTAAAAATTTTTCAAAAAAAAATTTTTTTTTTTAATTTTTGAAAAAAACCCCCCTCCGATTTTTTTTGTTTTTTTTAGTGATAGCCAAAACTATCAAGAATTTTTTCGTACAAGATTTATAGTGGGATCACAATAACTTTTCGAGAAATCAACGAAAATGTCAACCGGGACCCGTCGAGATTGATGCACTCCTGCACGCCGCGCATGCGCTACGTCATGTATACGTGAACGTCTGCACATTGAACTAGAAGCGCATTTCTGATCATTTCTCAGCGTATTATTGAAGAACTCAAAACATAGATTACCTACGATCCTTATGTCACATGTTTCTTTAAATTTACAATTTTTTTAACTCTTTTTTTACGTTTTATCGTTGCAGGTATTTCTTTGAATAATTTTTTTGTTAAAAAGTGTAAGTTTCCTCTTATATAATAAGTGTTTCTTAGATTGTAAGTTTGTTTTGGTTGATTTTGAAGATCACCATAGAAATTTTTTTGTTGTTTTCTTATTATCGTCTGACGTTTAATATACGTGTCTTCTTTGAAGGTTTTTTTTAATAATTTTGTTTTTAGAAGGTAAGTGTTTAGATTGTAAGTTATTTTGTTTATTCCAAAGATCAGCGACGACATTTTTTTTAATTCTACACATATTTGTTGTGTTAAAAGAAAAGATTTATAATTATTTGTTGTCAATCGTTTTTGTTTTCGAATTATCATCAGGCGTGATATTTAAAAAAATTTCAACTAAAATGTATGATAAGGTTTGCTGTAATCCCTTAAAAAACCGAATCATCGAAAATTTAAAAATAATCTTCGAAATGTTTCGAAAACTCTTCATGAGCTGTACCCAGAACTTTCTCGAAAGAAGCATATTTGCGATGTATGCAGAAAAGCGTTAACTAAGAAAATATTACCAACTTTTGTTGAAAATCAAGAAGTTGGAAATCAGGAAATTGAATGTCAAGAAGTAGAAAATGAAGAATTTGAAAATTATTCAAGCGACGTTGAAGTGCATGATGATGCTGATGATAAGCTGGCAATTTTTTCTGATGTGGATAGAGAAGTAGCTTTTTCACATTTAAATAAATGTTTAGAAATTTTAAATGCATCACCTGTACATTTTGAGAAAAAGACGTCAATAATACAGAAGGAAAAAACATTTGAAAACGTAAGTTCCGTGTTAAAAACAAAACTTTTTAATCTTGAAGAAAGCAAAAATTATGAAGAAAAAATTGTCGATCATCTGAAAGAGAGATTTAGATTATCAGGAAAAAACAAAAATCTGCAAATGAAAATTTTATCTATTCCCAGAGAAACACTAGAGTGTGTGCAAAATTTTTATAAAAATGACAATAATAGTCGTGTGATGCCAGGAAAAAAAGATTTTGTCACAATTCTGGATGGGAATGGTGAAAAAGAGAAAGTGCAAAAGCGACTAATATTAAGCAGTATTAAAGAATTGTACGTATCCTATAAAGATTCATTTCCTGGTCAGAAAATCGGATTTTTCAAGTTTGCTGAACTAAGGCCCAAAGAGTGTGTTTTAGCTGGTGCTAGTGGTACGCATACAATATGTGTCTGTGCACTTCACCAGAATGTTAAGTTGATGTTTACTGGAGGAAAAATAGAGGCTTTATCTAAAAGTGAAAAATTGGAAATCCCTACCTATAAACATTGGATAGCCAAATCAATTTGTAATCCTGCGACGGTGGAATGTCATTTTGGAACTTGCTCAATTTGTCCAGGAAGCGAAAAAATAAAAAATGATTTAAAAGAAGCATTTGAGAAGAACAAAGTAGATATGATTACTTTTAAACAGTGGATCCAAGTAGATCGCTCAAATTTAGATACTTTGACTAAATCTGCAGAAGAATTTACCGATTCTCTTAGTGAAAAACTAGAAAAATTAATTTCTCATAGTTTCGTGGCTAAAGAGCAGGGTAAATTCCTTGAAGAAGTCAAAAACGGTTTAAGAGATGGAGAATTTGTTGTCATATGTGACTTTGCAGAAAATTATTCTTTTGTGGTTCAAGATGCTGCGCAAAGCTATTACTGGACAAATAACTAAGCCACTGTTCATCCATTTGTCATATATTTTAAAAATTCAAAAAATGAAATAGAACATCTTAGTTTTGTTATTATTTCCGAAGTTTTACAGCACAATACGATTGCTGTTCATTTGTTTCAGAAAAAATTAATAACTTTTTTAAAAGAAACCATGGGCAAGGTAATTAAAAAAGTAATTTATTTTTCGGATGTATGTGCAGCGCAATATAAAAACAGAAAAAATTTCTTAAATTTGACACATCACCAAAATGATTTTGGCTGCCAAGCAAAATGGCATTTTTTTGCTACCTCCCACGGAAAAGGTCATTGTGATGGAGTGGGTGGAAGCCTTAAAAGATCAACTGCAAATGCAAACTTGCAACGACCTAATAAAAATCAAATCATAACTCCATACGATTTATACGAATTTGCCAAAAATTTGGAGAAAATTCAAGTTGCGTTTTGTTCGCAAAGTGAATATAAACAGGAAGAACGATTACTGCAAGCACGTTTTCGACAAGCAATCACAATTCAGGGAACTCATCAATTACATGCGTTCATACCTATATCAAAAAAGAAGCTTATTACAAAAACATTTTCTAATTCTTATGATTGTTCAGGTGTAGTAAATATAATGCAGTAATTAAGTAAATTCTGTTCTTGAAATTCCCGGTTTTTATTTTCGAGTATGTATTTATATCAATCAGCCTTTTTTAAGGCTCAAATGCCAAAAAAGCCACATATTTATTTCAATCAGCCTTTTTAATGGCTAAAATGCCAAGAAAGCCACATATTTATTTCAATCAGCCTTTTTAAAGACTCAATGGCAAAAAAGCCAAATATTTATTTCAATCAGCCTTTTTAAAGGCTAAAATGCCAAAAAAGCCATATATTTATATCAATCAGCCTTTTTAAAGGCTCAATGGCAAAAAAAGCCACATATTTATTTCAATCCGCTTTTTTAAAGGCTCAAATGCCAAAAAAGCCACATATTTATTTCAATCAGCCTTTTAAAGGCTCAAAATCATTGTATAAAGCTTTTAAATTTATTATTATTTTTTTGCATCTTTCTCGTATAATAATCAATTTAGGCAAAAAGAGTATAAAACATAAAAAGTATGTTTCAATGAGAACTAAAACTTTTACACTGTAAAAAAGAAGTTCTAAATTAGAACTGATTTTGGTATTAAAATTGAACTAAATTACAATTTACTACGAAAATTGGTACTAATTTTTACAGTGTATGTTTAAAATTTTTAAATATTCCTTATATTAACCAAGTTATATGCCAAAAACTATTTTTTAATAGTGTTTTACATCCTTGACTATTCCAGAGTTAACTTTGTCATCCTCCCCCACCCAATTTTTCATCTTCTAGATAAAGGAAATCAACCTTTTTATCTAATCTATTAACCTTTTTCAGCATCAGTCCTTCAAAAGGAGTAACTAAAAATGAAAGATTTTATTTTATTCTAGTCGATTTCTGATATTAATTCAAAGAAATAAAAGTAAAAATAAGATTATACTAAAGGAAAGTCGTATTTTATTAACTTAAGTTTAAAAGAAGTTAAATTTGATAAAAGAAAGTCGACAGTGCACTATGCATCGGCATACTGGTACCTCTATTTAATTTTCTTATGGGAATATTTTTAATTATTTACGTACCGACTCCCAAATGTAAACCTGCATTTGAGAAAGCATCGAATGCCGCTTGAACATTCACCTCATTCTCTTTATTTTCAAACGGTGCAAGATTTTTAGGATCTGTGAAACCAAAATGCTCATTAAATTTTTATCATACATTAGCGCAATTTTTACTACTGGTCGTTAGAAAATCTGGATCCCCCTCTAAAAGTCTTACATGTAACTTAATATGAACAACCTCATACATATATTTGGCTTGGACAATTATCTTCTTGAAAAAGTTTTTGACAAAAGCATAGAGCGCAAACTGCGTTTGCATTATTGCAAAACAATTTATCAGAAGTATATATAGAGTTGAACATGTTTAATATGTCATTATAAATTTTTAAATTCTATTTCAGAAAAACTTGTTTGGTTGTAGATTTAATTTTGAAGTTTCCTAACGCAAATAAAAATATGAAACATTAAATGTCATACAGAAACTATAGAATTTTTTGAAAAATTTTGAAAAACACTCTTAAAGTACTTATTAGATAACAATTCTACAAAAATTGCTGATAGAAATAATGAGAAGTATTTGGTCTACGTCAAGCGGACCAAAGCTCTGCCCAAAATTGCACGCAATATAAATAAACTTATAATATATAAAAATGTTCGTACACATGTAAACTTTCAAAAAATGAGTGGCAAATTAAAAAATTTATAATAATGCTTTTGTTATAACAATTATAATCCATCTTAAATGGAAATGCGTAAGTAAAAAAATGTCTCATTTAAAGACAAAAATTTTAAAATCTAAAGTCATAGTTGTTTTTAATGTTTTCGGGGTCGCTGATTACGAATCTGATGTCACAATTAAAAAATTCAAAATGGCGGATCCAATATGGCGGCCGAATTAAAAAAAAATCGTCCATATTTTTTCCAGTTACTCATTACTACTCTAGTATTGGATAACTGCGAGTGGTGTGGTTGCATTTGAGTACCTAAATACTACTAGCTTCTTGTCTGAAGTAACTATGAATGAGTGTGCTGATTGGATTTTTGTAACTGAAGGAGCTTTGGAAAATCTTTTATTTAATGAACGCTTAATTTTTTCATGCTCTTGTTTTGTGTAA